CAACAACTTACGGCCTTATTTCCCCGCTGATGGATTTTCGTTGAGTGATTTGGAGAAGCATTGGACCATCCTGGAGAAAGCAGAGTATGAACGGGAGAAGGCCCTGCAGGCAGAGTTGATGAGACTGGAAAAGCTGGAACAGCTGGCTCAGATTTTTCACAAGAAGGCCTTCCTGAGAAAAACCTACCTTCAAGACATGACACAAGTCATTGAGCGCCAAGATTTCAAGGCTAACAATCTTACTCAAGTGGAAGCTGCCACCAAGAAACTTGAGGCAATTGAGGCTGACGTGTTACCACGAGAGCAACGCTTCAAATGGCTCGCAGAGATGTCTGCCATTTTACAGAGAGAGAATTACCACAAAATTGATGAGATACTTGTAAAGTAGGTATATTAAAATAAAAAGTAGCTGCTGTCAATAGTAATTGAAATATAAAATTAGAACCAATATCAGTTATTTGTCTATTTATTATTCAAAGTGTTTTAAAATGAACTGTGAGCTTACACATTATGCTCATCATGCACTTAATGTATAGCCCTCTTCAAAAGTTCCTAACAGGGGCGGACTGACAGCTCATGGGGCCCCCGGGCAATAGGGGATCATGGGGCCCCGGTGTCCTTTGCCCAAACTCAAAAAAGCCTATGAAAAAGGTACCAGGGGCATCTTATGGGGCCCCCTACTGACCCCGGGCCCTCGGGCAGTGCCCGAGTTTCCAAATGGTCAGTCCGCCCCTGGTTCCTAATGGTAATGCTGTTTTTAGATTGCAGGCCTGTGAAGTCCCTTGTTGAACCGAATGCAGAGAGAGAAAGACAGTGCTTCTTGCAAATGTATGCAAATTATGCTCTCCAAAAAGAAAAGTACTTCTTGGAAAAATTTCACTTTAACAGGACAGGTCCTTAACTACACTGCATCTGAGCACCACAAACCAAAAATGCTATATAATTAATTTTAAATATTTAAAGCAAACTCACCCATCCACCCATGTCCCCATGCTTTATTTTGCTGAGAAATCACTGTGAAAAATAACCCATTATTGGCTGTGGCCATCTTAAGCAAATGCAGATGATTAATGTAACATTTACTTCCCAGAATCCATCTGCCCTTAGCTCAGACTTACAGACAAGAGAGTGTGCTTAGCTGAGAAAACTCCTCCTCTCCTTCTGAAGACACCTGGTGACTTATGACTTCATTTGCCTAGGCCTGGACACCAGGAAGTAACTGAAGAAATGTAAAGTGTGTTTAAAACAAGTACCGTATATATTTCCCTATCTATTTACTAATGCTAGCAGCATAAGGATAAAAAATAGTCATTGCTGAGAGAGTGAAGTTCTGCTTTAATGCTCCACCAAATGGGTTTTTAGAGCAGTAAACTGATAGCTGATCTGGATTATTAAGGTCTGTGCAGTGCCTTAAATACCAAGTGGTAGGGACATTAACCTACATGGCTTCCATGAATAAAGTACATTACCCAGAAGTCCATTCTCCTTTTTTTTTGCAACCATTTCCAATGGGAATATTTCCTGCAATCTCATTACCTGTAGTTTGTACTTTCATTGGTATCAAGCACTTTACAATAACATTTTCATGCGTATCTGAATCATAACTAAGCTTATGACAAAATGATTAACATTTATAATAATGTAAATAAAAGAATTTAACTTATGAGAACTGAAAACAATTTATGTTTCCACAACTGCAGCAGACAGAAGCCAAGAGTAGCCTACAGAAATTAAGTGGTCACCACCAGTAAGTTGGCTACTCTTGGCCTCTGTCTGTTGTTAGCTATTTTGTCTAGATACGTTTGTTAAAATGAATTGTTTTTTTTTAGCCTCTTTTGGTTAAAAACTTTGATGAGGAACCTGGATGTTGTACCATTTCACTAAGCATTATTTTGGTGGTATTTAAGGCACTGGTTTACGGTGCCCAGCTTTATCAGCTGATTCTTTCCCTATCTAACTGGCGTATTCTGATGTACACTGCTCAAAAAAAATAAAGGAACACTTTGAAAACCCATCAGATCTCCATGAGGAAAAATATCATGCTGTATATCTATACTGATATAGAATGTGTTAAGAACGTAAGGATGCCCCATCGTTTGATGGAAATGAAAATGATCAACCTACAGAGGACTGAATTAAAAGACACCCCAAAGTGAAAAAATGATGCAGAAGGCTAGTCCAGTTTGCTGAAATTTAATCGCAGCAACTCAAAGTGGTACTCAGTAGTTTGTATGGCCCCCACGTGCTTGAATGCATGGCTGACAACATCAAGGCATGCTCCTAATGGGACGACAGATGGTGTCCTGGAGTATTTCCTCCCAGATCTGGACCAGGGCATCACTGAGCTCTTGGACAGTCTGAGGTACAACCTGGCAGCATCAGATAGACCGAAACATGATATCCCAGAGGTGTTCTATTGGATTTAGGTCAGGCGAGCGTGGGGGCCATTCAATGGTATCAATTCCTTCATCTTCCAGGAACTGCCTGCATACTCTCGCCACATGAGGCCAGGCATTCTCGTGCATCAGGAGGAACCCTGGACGCACTGCACCAGCGTAGGGTCTGACAATGGGTCCAGTGATTTAATCCCAACACCTAATGGCAGTCAGAGTGCCATTGTCTAGCCTGCAGAAGTCTGTGTGTCCCTCCATGGATATGCCTCCCCAAACCATCACTGACCCACCACCAAAACGGTCATGCTGAACGATGTTACAGGCAACATAACATTCTCCACAGCTCCTCCAGACCCTTTCATGTCTGTCACATGTGCTCAGGGTGAACCTGTTCTCATCTGTGAAAAGAACAGGGCACCAGTGGCGGACCTGCCAATTCTGGTGTTCAATGGCAAATGTCAACCGAGCTCTATGGTGCCGGGCAATGAGCACAGGGCCCACTAGAAGACTTCTGTTTAAGATTGTTTGGTCAGAGACATTCACATCAGTGGCCTGCTGGAGGTCATTTTGTAGGGCTCTGGCATTTCTAATCCTGTTCCTCCTTGCACAAAGGAACAGACAGCAGTCCTGCTGATAGGTTAAGGACCTTCTATAGCCCTGTCCAGCTCTCCTAGAGTAACTGCCTGTCTCCTGGAATCTCCTCCATGCTCTTGAGACTGTGCTGGGAGACACAGCAAACCTTCTGGCAATGGCACTTATTGATGTGCCATCCTGGAGGAGTTTGACTGCCTGTGTAAACTCTGTAGGGTCCAGGTATCGCTACCAGTAGTGACACTGATCCTAGCCAAATTCAAAACTAGTGAAACATAGTCAGAAAAGATGAGTAGGGAAAAATTGTCAGTGGCCGGCATCAGTAAAACCAATCCTGTTTTGGAGATCGTTTCATTGTTGCCCATCTAGTGCACCTGTTAATTTCTTAACACCAAAGCAGCTGAAACTGATTAACAACCCCCTCTGCTACTACTGACCAGATCAATATCCCAGAAGTTTAATTGACTTGATGCTATACTAATTAAAAAATGTTCCTTTAATTTTTTTAAGCAGTGTAAAACAATTGTAGAAAACCTAGCTGTTTTTCTGCCCTGCCACCTCCACATTTATTTTTTATCTTTTTAATAGAAATATATTTTGGCAGCCTGTCCATGTCAATTAACCAACTGCTTCCTGATATCTGTAGCTTTAGTCTATGGCAGTACTTCAAAATAATTACTTATGGTCTTTTCTTTTTGCTCCAGACAACGGGAGTTATCAAGGGGATGGCAGGAGCTCCTTAACTTAATACAAAGACACAAAGATCCATTAGGAGACAAGTTCCAAATACTGGTCCTCTTAAGAGACATTGACAGCGTTGTTGATGAGCTAAAAGCTATGCAGGTAAGGATGTTTTCAACATATATGTTTATTTATACGGTATGAAAATTTTTACCGATTATTGATCTACTGTAGGACAAATTCACACTGATCCAAATGTTCAGAAATTATTTGAACCTTGAATAGTGTCTGCACAGCTGTGTTAATCATTTTCTAACTGGATTTTATTATACTCAGCCATATACACACAATGAAATAGTTCTCCAGGCAAAATTTTGAAGGCAAAAATCTTAGAGAGTGTCATGGCGGAAACTATCTACAAAGCTCCCAACTCTCATTGGGAGACCTTATCCTGTTTAAAAGTCAAATCCTTCTATCTCTTTTGCTTCTTCAATTGTCTCTTTTTTTGTTCTAATGTATAGATCTCTCAGAAAAATGTACTATTGAACTACCAAAAGTGTTATACTAGTCTAAGCCTTCCATCTAACTTCTATAATAAAGCATTTGTTATTTTGAAAAGGCAGTATGATGAATAAGTAGTGGTAAAATAAAGTACCTGTGAGTTAACCAATATTTTTTTGTGTATTGAATACTCAAGGTTCTTACAAATGGAAATGTGGCATGGAGGTCTGTTGCCTACATATGCTGTTCCTCTTCCTCAGCTGAAAAGGCTTGGAGTTAGGCTTCTAGGGATAGTAAAGGTGCACTTCCAAACTGCATGTAACTGTGAGAACATTTGTTGTGAAAAAAAATACAGGTGCCTTTGTAGTGGAATGAGCCTAACATGTACCTGGCAATTTCACCTGGTGGCTGCTTAAAGTGTTACTAAACCCCAGACCCTGCATTCACTATATCTGGTCTCCCACAGTGCACACTACATAGAAATGCAATTATTTTAGTAAATATAAACTGCTAAAGACCTTTCCTCATCAGCAGTTAGAGCAATCTTGTGACTTCAGCTGAGCACTGGTTAAAGCTTGTAGGAGGAGTTTTCTTTCTGCTCTAAGAGGATGTGAAACCCTTGACCCTTTTTCTGAGCAGTGCTGATTGGCCCTGTGCTGATCACATGCACTCTCCCAAGAAAAAAAAAACCCTCTGTAGCAATACACACCAAACTGAGCATGTGCATGTGACTGCGGATTCAGTCTGTATCAGGTGGTCATTTCAACAAGAGGAGGGGCAGAGATGAAAAGATCAAACAGCCTTTTTACACAATGCAGAGGATTAACCCTTTAGGTTCCACAGTGAGTATAACAAGCATGCTTTACTGCATATACAGACTGATTTTACTGTTGTGGGTTTAGTAACACTTTAAGAAAATTTACTTGAAAAATGTTAATGTTCTGAGCCCGTAAAACAGTTTTGTGTCAGTTCCACTAACTAGGAAATATCTGTGTGGAAATTTTCCTGAACTTTACACTGGAATTTCAGTGATGGGAGGGCTAAATTTAGTGAAGCAAAGCATCCACCAACTGTCACTCTTTTTCTTTACTACTCCCAAAGACAGCATTTAGAAGAATTAATCTAGATGCCAAATCGGAGGTGCCAATTACATTTCCACCACAAGGATCACTGCCAAGTGTTTGCACCATGACCTCATGTGTCTGTCCCTTTGGAAAAACTTATTTCACTTGTTAAAGACTTTTATTGTTACAAATACTGTTTCTAAAAAATCCTGATTCCTAAAACTTATGCTTGTAAAAATACACATTTATATTAGGCTCTTCGCCTATATTATACTTAGCTATGATTGAAGTAGTCATTACATTTACAGTGCCTTGAAAAAGTATTCATACCCCTTGAAATTTTCCACATTTTGTCATGTTACAACCAAAAACATAAATTAATTTTATTCAGATTTTATATGATAGACCAACACAAAGTGGCACATAATTGTGAAGCGGAAGGAAAATGGTAAATGGTTTTCAATTTTTTTACAAATAAATATGTGAAAAGTGTGGCATGCATTTGTTTTCAGCCCCCTTTACTCTGATACTAACTAAATCTAGTGGAACTAACTGCCTTCAGAAGTCACCTAATTAGTAAATAGTGTCCACCTGTGTGAGATTTAATCTCAGTATAAATACAGTTGTTCTGTGAAGCCCTCAGTGGTTTGTTAGAGAACATTCATGTACAAATAGCATCATGAAGGCCAAGGAACACACCATACAGGTCAGGGATAAAATTGTGGGGAAGTTTAAAGCCGGGTTAGATTATAAAAAAATATCCCAAGCTTTGATCATCTCACGGAACACTGTTCAATCCATCATCCGAAAATGGAAAGAGTATGGCACAACTGCAAACCTACCAAGACATGGCCGTCCACCTAAACTGACAGGCTGGGCAAGGAGAGCATTAATCAGAGACACAGCCAAGAGGCCCATGGTAACTCTGGAGGAGCTGCAGAGATCCACAGCTCAGGTGGGAGAATCTGACCACAGGACAACTATTAGTCGTGCACTCCACAAATCTGGCCTTTATGGAAGAGTGGTCAGAAGAAAGCCATTGTTGAAAGAAAGCCATAAGAAGTCCTGTTTGCAGTTTGTGAGAAGCCATGTGGGGGACACAACAAACGTGGAAGAAGGTGCTCTGAACAGATGAGACCAAAACTGAACTTTTTGGCCTAAAACTAAATGCTACATGTGGCAGAAAACTAACACTACACATCACCCTGAACACACCATACCCACTGTGAAACATGGTGGTGGCAGCATCATGTTGTGCTTTTCTTCAGCAGGGACAGGGAAGCTGGTCAGAGTTGATGGGAAGATGGAAGGAGCCAAATACAGGACAATCTTAGAAGAAAACCTGTAAGAGTCTGTAAAAGACTTGAGACTGGGGCAGAGGTTCACCTCCCGGCAGGAGAACAATCCTAAACATACAGCCAGAGCTACAATGGAATGGTTTAGATCAAAGCATATTCATGTGTTAGAATGGCCCAGTCAAAGTCCAGAACTAAATCCAATTGAGAGTCTGGGGCAAGACTTGAAAATTACTGTTCACAGACACTCTCCATCCAATCTGACAGAGCCTGAGCTATTTTGCAAAGAAGAATGGGCAGAGACATCCCCAAAAAGATTTGCAGGAAGGAAGTTCTTCAGAGTATTGACTCCGGGGGGGCTGAATGCAAATGCGCGCCACACTTTTCACATATTTATTTGTCAAAAATTTTGAAATCCGTTTATCATTATCCTTCCACTTCACAATTGTGTGCTACTTTGTGTTGGTCTATCACATAAAATCAATTAATTACATTTAGGTTTTTGGTTGTAACATGACAAAATGGGGAAAACTTCAAGGGGTATGAATACTTTTTCAAGGCACTGTAATGCTCCTGATTACCTATATCATATTTAGGCTCCATGCACACTAGCATTTTTTTAAGCTCTTAGAAGCTATTATTAGCATATTTTTTTCTGCTCCTAGAAGCTTTATAGTGTTCTCCTATGTGTCCATGCACACTGCTTTAGGCTATTATTATGGCGCTGCAGTGTCTAGGAGTTTTTTGGAGCTTTTTTTCAGCAGAAAAAAATGCCATATGCTGCAAAACTCTACTGAATGCTTCTGAATGCTACTGAAACATTATTACCAAGGTTTTTTATAGCCAGAACTTTTCTCAGCGTTTTTGAGCTTAAACATTTATTTAAAAGACTGAATTATGAAAAGCATTGAGAATCTTCAGCCAAAAAATTGTAGCTTTGTTCACTTTGAATACCAAATTATGTGCAGATGGAAAAAATTAAAATTAGCTTTTTCCATGATTGGATAATTGAAGTGAATCCTCATACAAATGATTCTCATTAGTTTAGTTCATTATCCTCCTTGTCTTTGACACCCCCGGTCACACTGGGTGTGATGTAGCATGTGCTTTGCATGCCATGCGACTTGCCAATTTTATGCCAAAGTAGCACCCTATTGTCCGCAATTACAGCGGTCAAATCCGACTTGGTCGGAGTCGCACCGATTTCTAAAGTAGTACATGCACTACTTTTCGTGTGATTTGAATAGACATCTGTGTCAGATGTCTTGCAAATCGCACCTGAGATTGGCATGTCGTCTTCACTGTAAGTCGCACGATTTCAAAGTCGAGCTTGATGTGACCGGGGGGGGGGGGGGGGGGATTTGCAGCTGTGCATGGTAGTCAATCAGCTTCTTACTTACAATTAAACTTTAGGCTACTTTCACGCTGATCTGTAGCAAAAATGTAACAAAACACATATGTGTTTGTGCCGTGTTTGCGGTGCATTTTTTAAAGGGGCATTTGACTCAAAAATGCAACATGGGTGAGTTTTTTTATGCATTTTTGATGCATTCTTGATGCATTTTTGCAGTGTTTTCCATTGATTTCAATAAGGAGGTGTGTTTTTGGTGTGATTTTTTTTACCACACCAAATCTGCACCAAAATTGCAGCAAGCAGGACTTTTGAAAAAACGTAGCGGCCACCCAACGGATCAGTGTGAAGAGTTCCATATGATTACATATTCACACATTTTTATTCTTTTTTTTCACCGCTTTCCCGCCACCCTATAGCAGATATACTGCTACAGGGTGGCAGGGGTGCGCGAAATCAAGTATATATATGTGATTTTGCATTTCCAGGTATATGCGGCTGCGGCTGTCAATCACCGGGTCCCGGCGCAGTGATTAACAAGCATCTCAGACAGGGAGGATGACTGTTTTGTTTACTAACAGTCCTCCTCCCTGTCAGCACGGGCACAGCACAGCCATCCAAAGCAGTGTGCTTACAGTGAAGCACACTGACACGTAAAACACTCCCTGCACACAGTTAACCCTTTGATCACCCCTCATGTTAACCCCTTCCTGCCCAGTACCATTGTACAGTGTCAGTGCTTTTTTTTTCAGCACTGATCACTGTATTGGTGTCACTGGAGATGTCAGTGACACCAAGTCAGTTCCCCCCAGTGTCAGAATGTCCGCCGCAGTCCCGCAGTCCCTAAGTTGCTGATAGCCAACATTACTAGTAAAAAAAAAAATTCCAGTATCTATACCGCCATTTGTAAACGCTATAATTTTCACGTAAACCAATTCATTTACACATATTGGGAATTTTATTTAGCAAAGACATGTAGCAGAATACATTTTGGTATAAATTTATGACAAAATTTGATTTTTTGTACTGGACATGTTTAATAGCAAAAAGTCAAAAATATTGTTTTTTTTCTCAAAATTGTCATTTTTTTTTCCTATAGTGCAAAAAAATAAAAAACGCACAGGCGATCAAATACCACCAAAAGAAAGCTCAATTTGTAGGAAAAAAGGACGTAAATTTAATTTAGGTGCCACATTGCATGACTGCGCAATTGTCAGTTAAAGTAATGCAGCACCATAACGCCAAAAATGGCCTAGTCAGGAAGGGGGGTAAATCCTCAGGAGGGCAAGGGGTTAATGCAAAACTGAAAGAAAAACAGACCAGCGTGAAAGAAACCTTAGTCAGATAATGAAAAGATAAGTTCACTTTTGGGAACATGTAACATGTTCTCAGTGCTGATTGCTGCTGCCCGATCCTCCCCCTCCCTGTGACAGCAGTATGGAGAAATGTTCCCCGTACAAGCTGTCACTTTTTAATAACAGCATGGACATGTGGGGCTCCACCCACATGGCCGCATCATTCATTCACAGAGTTCTGTGAATGAATGAACTACAAGTCTAGACACCCTTAGCAGCTGTCTGCTTGAAGTTCTCAATGAACTACAATGGCGCTGTGGAACACCCTGGTAGTTCATTGATTCTTCCTGTCAGTATATCTGCTTGCCCATACATCTCATACAGGTAAGTAGATATACTGACAGGGCTGCAGGAGACCTGCATGGCACCAGCAATCTGCTGATCGCCGGTGCAAAGCTTTACAGGCTTCTGCAAAAAAAAATTAATAAATGCACATTTTTTTACCTGCAAAAAAAATGTGCATTTATTATTTTTTGTCAAAAGGTGAACTTAACCTATAAGTCCTGCTAGATCCCTTTCTGCTGACCCCTTTTGCAGCAATAGCTATGTAAAACATTAAAAAGAAGTGAGTACAATGTTTACAGTTCAGTAATACACTGTCTCATCTTGCTCTGCACATGCTCAGTTGCTTTCCATTTTTAGGCAAATTTAGGCACTGCCAAATTTGTAGAGGCCCATCTGCTGACAGCTTTAGGCCTCGTTCATACCATGGTGCAGAGACTTCAGTTTTCTTCATGCTTTCTGTAAGGGCACAACAAAATCAATTGTTCTCTATCTGCCCTGTTCACACCACAACACTGGTATCAGATGTCAGATGGTGTCAGATTTTTTCTGCATGTGAATCT